TGCTGAAGGGTATTTAAACTAACTTAACTGCTTTTCTGAGAAGCAAATGAGGAGCACTTGTTTAAGCTTTGCCTCCTGCTCTGCTGCAGAGACAAGACTCGTTCAGTTGAGCAACAGAGGCTTATACCCTGTTACGATCATCTCAGAAACAGCTCCCAGACCACAGTCCAGCAGTAGTGTAAGTATTACTGTATATAACACACATCTGAAGACTCAACCATATTCCTTCATATGCTAGATTGAAGGCTGCATACTAAAGCAGCAATAATTTTTTGTGTCCTTTACACACTATTATGTGCCATGTTTGACATAGTAAAACAGAAATAAATTACAAACGTAGACTTAACTGCCACAGAGAGACCTGTTTAGATAGCACTTATAAAAAAAAAAAAAAAAAGCAGACAGACATTTTGAGCATCCTGCTTTAAAACAAGCCTTTTGTTTGTCTTTCCTGTGTAGCAGCTACAATCAACCGAGGGCACAAATAACAGGCTATTTCCAGCCAGCTATCTGATTATACTCACAGATCAAATAATGACACATCTAAATCTAATTATTTTTACTTTAATTCATAGACTCTGATATTTCAGTGCAATCTTAGACCAATCTATTTGTTTTTCCTGATTGTGAGGAGTTTTATCAGAAATACAAAATGAGTAATTTCCACAGAAATTCAATTTTTCCCTATAACTCCCCTTTTTATTAGCAGGGTGTTATATGATAAATATTTTCCTCACTTCTTCCTTCAAAGAGACTTTGTCCTTCTCTGGCCTTACTTTACCCAGATTATCTGAGATAGCATTTAATTTGTCATTACTATCTTCACTGTCTGCATCCTGGACTAAATCCTAGACAGTAAAATAACACATTGTAATATGGAAGGAAAAATGCCTTAAGGCAGGTTGAAACAGTTCTCTGTCCAGAGGCCTCTTTTCTCTACTCATCTTCATAGCTGGAAATCATGGTAGTAGCTTCTGACTTTATCAGCTGAATTTATCACTTGAAGAGTTGCTCAATAGCTAATTATCATGATAAATTAGTGCAATTTTTGCATTTATTCATATTCCACCTGAACATGCTTTGTTAATTCACCATAACACAAGATGATAACTCAAAATATTGGATATGCTTTATTTTCATCTACTTCCATTTTACCAAAACACTGCTGGACACTATAGAGAACACTTGTTTGGTTTGATTAATGCTGTCAGATTCTTACCTTGGGTTGCAATGTAGTGACTGGGTCTCTGATATCCCTAAAACAGCAATATAAGTTGGTTTGAGTACCATATTAGTAGCAGAAAGGGTAAAATAAAAGCATAAGGGTACCACAAAATTCTTGTCAATAGACAACATTTTCACAACAAACCAATACTTAAGAGCAGCATGAAGCTCAAAACCTAAAAAAAATGGTTAATACTGAAAAGGTTCTAATGGCAACAGATAAAATGGAAATAAGAACATCTGACTTGAACAGACATTGTACTGTACCAGGAAAGAGTATTCTAGACAGGTCCCTTGAGCCTAAAAACTAGTCCTTATTGATACTGTCTCCCTGGCTGAACATATTGGGGCATTTATTTAAAATTTAGTAAAGATGCTCTTTGCAATCAGATTATCTCAAGAGTTGATCTGTGTTCCCAAATCATCCAATATGAAAAAATATATACCTTTTATCTTCTTAGAAATAGAGAAATACTGTGAGGCACAGAGAAGCATGTACTCGAGCCATAACTAACGGGGACAGACATCTCCCACGCCAGAGCTGGACACTGTGGTGTGCACACACAGTCAAGGTCCTACTGCCATCAAATCTTCTGAAAAATATTTTGTGCTACTGCACAAAGTGTGCATCAATTACAATGGCCATGATATGCGCAAGTATATGCACATACATATATATATATGTATAGATAGATAACCTTACACGACTAAGCCTTTCCAGTTAGCTGGGTCTATGCCAATGCTAGCAGTACTGCATTGATCATCTGCATAAAAACTACAAGACAGAGATTCTGCTCTTGAGGAAATAATTCAGAATATATTTTGACCAGTGCCAGCAACAATAGCTAGAAAGAGGAAGGAAACTTTAATATTGCTGGAGAAGACAACACAGAACTTCAAAATGTGCAAATGTTAAAAGAAATAAGTCCAATTATTTTCTAGGTTATGGTTTATTAGGCCACTTGAATCAAGCAGTGCATTACAGGGGAGCACAAGTCCTTGGATTCCTAGTATTCACAAGATGCCACAAAACTGAAGGATTTCAATGAACCCAAGGAGTTCATATCCTTTTCCACAGAGTCCTTCATTATCCTGTCTAGAGTGAGAGCACCTGCCTCCAGGTCTTAAGAAAAAACTTCTGAGTATCTTACTCTTGGCTTTACGAGAGACCAAGATTGCATCACCTGACTAAAATTTTCTCCTAGAGTCCTTATCATCAAGCCCCAGCTTCAAATTAGGAAATTGGAACTGTGTTACACTGTTTTATACTCAGTCAAAATTGCAAAGTGCCAGTTTTAACTTGCAGCTTTCCTGACTGGTTATAATGAGATTCTATTTACCCCTACATAAGAGAAATAATGTCCTCAAGGGACTGTAGTTATTACAAATCTGGGAGAGTTTTCTTGTTTAAGGCCCCAGGCAAAATATCACGCGACTACACAGAGATTGCTGTGTAAAAATATCAAAATAAAAAGACAGAGATATACCTGGAGCTAAATCTTTATATCCTGATAAGTCAAGAGGGTCTCTAATAATTTACCAACTAGCAATGGACAAGAAAAAATAGTAAGGTGCAATTATAAAGAAAAGTAACCAAAGCCGTGTATTTTAAAAACACTTGTAATAGCTTTCAGTATCTTCTGAACTACTTTGGAAATACTGTGAATACAACAACTTGCTTATTCCTAAGGTGTAAATTGGATAAAACTCATATTCTGTTAATCAAAACACCTGGCAGAATTTGTTCAAATTTCCTCTTTGTATCAGGGTTTTTTTTTTTTTTTTTAAATTTATGATTTAATTTGTATTTTAATCAAAGCATGGTATTTCAAACTTTAGAATTTTTTTGCAAAAGCTAGGAAATGTCTACTACGTTAAAATATTTTTATACATATATATATGTTTGTGTATATACTTTGTAATACCTAAATTAGCACCTTAATATATTGCTTGTCTAAATTGTTCTTATAAACAAACATACTCCCCACCCAAAGACCATCATCCCTCCCTTTTTGCCAAACATATATTATGACTACTTTATGGGTACATTTTCAAAAGACTACAGTACAGTATACTATCCAGCTTCTCATGTATAAATGGGAAGGGGAAAAGAAAAGCTAGTGGCCAAGATCATCATCATCACAAAAAAAAAAGTGAACAGCAAATTCTCTTTAACAGACAGGTTCACCTGAGTTACCTAACAGTATCTAACAATATTCATAGCTATGTTAAAAAGCTAAATTATCTTTTCAGAACAGGTACAAAAAATATTCACACAAAAGGAAATTTTTCAAAGTAACAGATGAGACAAATTAGATGAGGCATGCATGATTATCTAGTGATAAAAATAGAATAGGAAAATAATTAATAACAATATCTATAGTAAATATTTACAATAGGATGCTGTTATTCACATATAGTGGTACTTACATCCCTGTACAGCCAAATCTACAGCCCAAACCAAAGTCAGATGTGAAAGAAAGCACAACAATGTCAGTGAGTACTAGGACGTAGAACAAGGAAAGTGTACATTTTGTTCTTAATAAAAGAAAACTTTCAATAAATTTATAGGCATAACATGCAATAATTTCACATAGAGAAGCTGGCAAATTGAGAGGGAGAAAGCTGTGCAATCCACTCACATCTATGTAGTTGGCATTAATGTAATCTGAAGATGGATCATCTTCAACAGGTTGCAAAATCACCCTGGAGTGGTCATCTGTAAAAGCCAAGTGGTTACAGTGCCTTTTTGAAGTGTGATTTTTAAATGAGATATTACAGTAAGTCATCTAGAAAACCAAAATAATTTGGCGTAAGTGCCTCAGAATTTACAACCCTTAAACATTGTTTACACAGAATTACAAAGAACCTTTTTGTCTGAAGTCTCCAATTACTTCAAAAACATTCACTAAACTTCATTAAGTACAGCTGAAAGGTATCGCCATTAAATGTGGTCAAAAACACACAAAGAAATCAGGTTACTTCCTCAAAGTCCCTTTCAAAATCAGCTCCAGTGATGGCAATCTAGAAAACCAAAAATCCTGATTACTGTTCCCCTACTTCTGACCCCAGCCTGCTTAAGTTCATATTGAGACTTGAAAATAAAGTAAGCTAGCAATGGTTAGCAATGCACTTCGGATTTTATGAAGAGGTAACTCTATCCATTCAGGGACTTCTCCAATAGCTTCATTCCTGCACGTTCAATCACATTTGTAAAACAGTAACAAATTGTGTTATCCCAGAGGATGAATCAACACTATTGAAACTTTATGGCTAAAGACAAGAGACAGAACCCTCTGATTTCAGTCACGTCTTTTAATCATCAGTTTTACACAACTGCTATTCAGATGTATCAGCTATAAATCACATAAAGCAGAAAAGTTTTAAAGCTGTCACATTTACCTGAAATAAATTGTAACTGTAGAAAACTGCCACAGAATTACCATCCAAGTGAGTGCTTGTTGCTGTTACATGCTTACCAGAGCTTGCACAACAGAGATGCAAATGTGAAATTCAGCCTGAGTTATAAAAGGAAGAAAGTGGAACTGTGAAGTACTAAGAGAAATGCTGGAAAAGGCACTGTCCTCCTCCTCCGCTTGGGTTGTTAAGCCGCTATGCCACTGGAGACTTGTAAAGAAAGAGAGAACACGGCACGAATAACACAGGACTGCGGCTACCGCTCAAACCAAGCACACCGATACTCACATGCTATAATGTTTCCATAGCGGTTCTTTGTTCTGTTTTGATCCTTCTTAGCGACATCCCAAGAAGCTGACTGCCCCTCAAAGAAACTCTATAAATAAAAATGTTCCGAAATAAAACATTCTGACCATTAATTTATCTCCAAAAATGATAGTTTTAAAGAACTTCCCTACGATAAAGTAAGCTCAGCTCTGCGTGCCTGCTCTGGTCACCCAGACGGCACCATGGCACAGCAATATATCTGAGAAGAAGGGAGGCTCTCTCCCTCTGACTGCTATGGGTCAACGAGCAAGTCACTGAGGGACTCTAGAGGGATTTCCAATCCTGGAATTGCTGGAAGGCTAAACTTGCTCAGACATTTCTTGCTATGGAGCAACAACAGTAAGCTGAGAAAGCACAGGGAGACTGATCACCCTTCGTATAAGAAACCATGATATTGCTTAGTAAAATGGCTTGTCTTCCTACAGAGCCATCAGGAAGCCTCCTCTGCCAATGTTTATTGTTCATGTTATTTTTCCTCACATCCCTCCCTCTAATCACTAGCAAAATTATTCTACATTTCTAAGCTCTTCTTAAGAGTCTGATCTCTCAGTAGTGATAGAAACAGCTTTTATTGCTCTTTGTCTTTTTCTTCATTGCCTATATTTTACAGCTGATGCTGGTCTATGCTATTCTTTCCTTCCAGATGTTCTCTTATCCTGACCTGGGTAAGTTACCTCCAGAAGTACACAGTAGCCACGGAAACAAAACTTTAATGCACATTCAGAAGCCTAAGCCAGGGCAAAGATGTCATGTATGGTAACAGAAGAAGCAGCAAGTAGGAAAACACCTGATATGGCATCAGGGACCACCCTCCCTCCCAGCAGTGGTTGACACTTGGGCTTAGCCCTGAAGTTAGGCAGAACATAACGAAGCGTATTTAAGTAAAAGAGAGGAAAAGAGAATAATATTCTTTTAAAAGCCATATATTTATTTATTCCAGTTCTTATGTTACAGTAGAGACAGCTGCAGAAAGGAGAGAAGGTTAGAAACTGAGTCAGAAGAGATTAGTTACTCAGAGAAAATTAATTTTAAAACTAGTTGTATTGTGTGTGACCTTGGCAGTACCATTCCCATCTTTAATATGTGTCCTGTCCGATATTCTAATCCCAAAGATTCACAACAGATTCAGAGATCAGAAGCAAAATGAATCTGTACTCGTCTACTTCCAGTGCTGGGAAATGTTTTGCTTCAATTTGAACATTAAAGTTGTAAGTAGACATGCTCAGGCAGGTCTAATTAGAACTTCAAGAAGTTACAACCCTCAGCATGTCCTTATTGCTTCTCAGCTGGAGTTTAGTCCCACTATTGCCCTACTGAAATGCTATAATAAATCATGAGAGTGCTTCCAGCCAGTGCTTCTTGCAAAACCAGCCAAGTTAAATATTTACCTTAACCTAATCCAGGATATCTGCACTGAAGATGACTCGGAAAACTCACATAACCAATTACAGCATTTCAACTAAGAAGCAGCAATGAAAAGGTGGTAACTTCTTACAGTACGTCAAAAAGATTCAGCAGGGCATGTCTTCTTATGCTTTAAAGAACACAGACCATGTTTTTTACAGGCACTTGTAATGGCTCAAACTATTGGATTCCACTCCTATTTCGCTTTTGGGGTTACACATATAGGAATTTTATGCCTGCTAAATATAAAGGTAAATATAATTATCTGTTTTTCACTTAAACACATGGCATTTAGTTGCATCCTTATGCATTGCAATGTAATGCAAACAAAAGGCTGTGACTTTCACAGGGATTTTTCCTAGCAAAAACTCACCACTGAAGATCTCACCTCATACTCCTCTTTAAATCCATAGCTGTCAGAGGTCTTCATTAGGTTAATATGCTGCAGCAGATCAGCCACCCTGATAGCAGGATGGAGCTGCCCAGTCTGGTATGGGGATTCTGTGCCTTCACAGAGGTAACGAGGGACATCCAGAAGCCGGCTGGACTCTGCTGTCGCACTGTGATTTTCATCTGTATTCACAAGAAATCAATGCATTATGTACCTGCAGGGCAGTAACACCTGCTGCTATACATATCAACATCTATTTTCAACCTCTTCCTTCAAAAACATGTCTAATTTCTGAGGACACAAAGCACTGACTCTCCAGGACATAAATACTATGAAGTACATAAAGGAATTTAGCTGCAAACACATACAAAAGTTTGCAATACTTCATCTGCAATAAAGGTGTCTGAAGGGCATTTTATTTGAAGCTACAAAACTTTATGACATTAATGTATCTGGGAACTCCAGCCTCTATCACCCAAAGTAACTTTTTTAATGGCTACTACGTATGAACAGCAATACTATACCTTCAATAATAAATTAGAATAACTCTGTAGTGGTATCAGCACATCATCTGTCTAAAGCCAACAAAAGTATATTGAGATCCCAGTAAAAAAGAGATGCAATTATGCTACCACTTCAGAACACCACCTCCATTTGGGAAGATAAATCGGCACTTCAGAGTGGTCATTTTAACTCAGGTCTTTTAGAAGAGAAATGGAACTGTTGAGTGTGCTGATTTCAGCCACAGTTTTTGCTCAGTATAAACAAAGAAGTCTCCAGTAAGGCTCTGTGCTACCACCAATCCTCTTACTAAAACCAAATGTCAAAGCTACATGAAGAGATCACATTTAGTCAATCCCTTCTGTGGAATAGTTTTTTTTTTGGGTTTTGTTTTTTTTTTTTTCTAAATTAGCAATTAGCAGTTCAAATTAATTTAGAGAGGAAGAAAAATTCTAATTCTGATCTTTTTGGAAAGTAGCTACCAAAAAGAGAAGTGGGTAGCTGACCCCTCCTACCCTTCTTTGAAATAATTTTTCCATTTTCCTTGCAAAGGATCCAGACAAGGAAGTAAAACACTCCAGGAAAAAAAAAAAATTAACACCCCAAGAGTTGGATTTTCTACAATTCCACCAAAATGCAAACCCCATTAATGCCTTCTGAAATGAGATATCCTAGTAAGAAAGCCGATTCTTTGAACTGTCACACGAGTTGCTAATTTCAGTACATTTATGCCTCACTAAACTGCCTAATAATGTGAGTGACATGCAGCAGTCACTTTTTATTGCAGTGTTGCACATATTAAATCATACACATTTCAAGCCACCTCAGGATTTGCAGCTTTCCCCATTCCTCACAGTATACTTACCAGTAATAGGCACTTTAACCCATTGAAGCAGCAAAAAACAATAAATGAACAGAACATAAGAAATTCATTTCAGGACTATATTAGAAAATGACTAAAAGAAAATGACATTAAAAGTTGTTAAAGCTTCACAATAGGTAACAATGAAAGCCGTTTTAAAAATATAAGGGCCACATTATTATGCCATCAATGTAATGATAGGGACTTGAGAAAAGCAAAATTGTCATACTAACTTAGTGCTAATGTATATAAAGTAGCATTAATAACCTATACATGAAGAAAGAACCACAGTACAGCTACAAAGTAATAACAGCTTCAAATAAAATAACATGTTCTATAATTTAGGGCCCATAAAATTTTGCTCATCTCTAAATAAAACAGAGAAAAACTGTTTTGTGATGCTGGGCCAAGCAAGGTCTATGTGGAGATGGAGTAGGCCAAATGATCTAGTTCTAAAGGAATAAGCTTACAGGTACCCAAACTCTTCTACACAGTGTGCCCACAAGCTTGTCTACTTCTCTCCACTATTTCAGCCCATGCAATAAAAAAATACTACCTCTTCCAATTAGCATTGCTTTGCTTACACCAGGAGACTATCATGCCCAAAACACCATTACCAGTAGATGGAAATGCAGACAGGAACTACTAAACTGTTCTTCAATTAATTCCTTGGTCCTTGCTGTTCACAGCTGCCCCTGCCTGTGCCTGCCACAATGCAGTGGCAACATACCAACCTTTGGAATATGCTTATAGCCTAAATGAGCTATTAGGGATAGTGTGACAAGTATCACCAGATAGTATCTATGCAGCTTGTTAGTGCACGAAATAAAGATAAAAGATACAAGAAGATCTTAGAAGAATTTCAGGAAAAGACTCATTTTCTATAAGTCCATTGTTCTAATTTTGGAAGTATTCTGACTGAGTCTATCCCTTTCCTCTTCCAGGCAATGGTGCTATCTCACCACTCCTCATTATCTTCTTAAACCACATAGTAAGGTTTCCTTGGGCCCAAGGTGGAAGGCTCCAGCATCTAACCACTCTGATGGTCGTTAACTTTCTAAAATACTACTGTAGTCAAGAGAATGGCATCTGCAACGTTATCAAAAGGAATTGGGCAGAATATGACTCGACAAATCTCCCACACAGTGAGTATACCCAGCTTGACACAGACCAAAGACTACTTACAAATAGTGATTTACTGTCAGTCTCAGACAACACATTAAAATCTGCAAAGGCTCCTCCTGGGTATACTTTCTATCAATATTTTTACCCACAATTTGCATAACGGAATAGAAAATATCCTGACAGTATGGGCAGAGGGCACTGAGCAGTAAGGCAGCACCACAAGCACTTTGCAAATACAGGATCAGATTTCAAAGTTATCTTGATTATTTGGGAGACAATGCAAAAATCAACAAGGTGAATTAAACAGTGAATGCAACATATTGTGTATAGGGAAGGGAAGTCAAATACATAACTACAAAATGGAGTAATGGATTGGGTAATAGTAACTGGGATTTTAGTGGGTAACAGTACAAGTCAGCAACATGAGTGCAATAAAAAGGACAAAATACAGTTCAGGTAGCAGTAACACTACAAGTAAGGCATGGAGGTACCTATTTCACTCAGCTCAGCATTGAGACTTCTAAGAACTGTACCTGATTCAGGGCACCACAATTTAAAATTTTGTCCTAAGAGCTCGAAAATGTTCAGAGGAAAAGAATGATAATAAGTTTAGAAAACATCACTGACAAGATGACGAGTGAAAGCACTGTGTTTAACTCAATTAGAAGAGAGACAATGGAGGACACATGAGGCTTTCAATGGGTAAAAGACTGTTTTGAAAGCACAGAGGTGTACGAGCTCTGCATATTTCTGAGTCTCAAAAGGAAACAGTTGAATTCACAGTAATGAGGATGTAGTCTAGATTAGTCTAGTTCGGAAACACTAGGAGTGAGCAGCAATAATATTCATCGGTAACTAATTCTCCATTAGAAAACTGATCTTTGGGTCCCAAGTAATATTAATATGGATCTGAATTTTATTTTTATTTAGGAAGAGCGAGGCACCAGAAGATGCCACTGCAAAAGCATTTTTAAGACACAACAGACTTCCATAAAGAGTCTATATTATACGCAAAATGTCTCATCTCAAAACAGAGGAGGGATTAAATTGACTCCATGTTCCTTTAAGCTTTACTTCTAGGAATCTAGTTTTCAACCTCAATTTATATTCATGTCCATTTCCTGATATTTATCTTTCATCCTAAAATAACCTCAGCAACTGACTGAAAACTCAATACTGCACATTATGTTTATCAAACCAAGAACTCAGGTACAAATTATACTTTCAGCTTTGTATTTTTTTAAAAAACCTCTAAAACATGCATTGAGTGTTAGATGTGACATAGAAGTTGCTACTTCCAGCCTGAGCACTCCCAACATCTCTTCTTTTTACAATAAGTACAAAGTTGAAAAGCTTAATAATTAAGGTCAATTGAAATATGCAATTAATATAGATATACAGGAATATCTGTACAGAACCTATGAAGTTGTTGTTTGTTCTTGGATATTTGAGAAATTTTTCCCTTTTCTGTTTTTCTTTCCATTCTTGTTATTTACTTGGAAAATTGTGTTTTGAGTGTCAACTAATGCTAATATGGATCTCAATTTTATTTTTATGTATCTTTTAAAAGAGTTCTAGTTTCACATGTCATTTCATTGAAACACAGTTTGAATGCTCTGGGGAGAAAAGGTTTAGTATTTTCCATTTATCTGTTTTCTCATTTATTCTTCAGTTAGCACTGACTAGGAATAACTTCTTCATGAGAACATATTTTTTGTTCCAAAAGCAGTGTCAGTTTAATTCTGAAGTGATAAACTGAGTGTAGAGTTATTTTCTGACAACAGTATAGCTATCTTTTACATAAAACAAGCTGTTTCAACATTTAACCATGCAAGGAGACAAAACTCATGCAGGAATGGATAACGAAGGACTAGGGTCCTCACCTAACACAGCTGTCGGCACAAGTGGATCATTGGGCACTGTAGGAAAACAAAGCTCATGAAGAAATATATTACCTCAATTTGTGTATTTTTAAGAATAAAACCAATACACTTCAGTGTACAACCAAGTGATAACTAAACCCCGTTAATTTTGTTACAACAGAAAACCAAAATGAATACACATATCCAGAAAGCATTGTGAATAAAAGAGGAATGAAAGGCAGTGATTTTGGACTTCAGAAGTGTAATGATAAAGGCAAAGAGATTCTTACTGAAATGAAATAAAGAAGACACCACATACAATTTAGTTTTTGATAGGGCTCCTCCTTCGCTATTGTTCTTTTACTTCACAATAAAGGTTCACTTTCACAGAACCAACTCCTTTCCTTTTAAACACATCCTCTCATACAATACTTGAATAGAAATAAAACGGTACTTCTTTAAAGTCTTCTAGGTAATTTAAAAAATTATATACATGTTTACAGTTAATAGTGTTTTTATGTGCAACACCAAAGATATTGCTATTAATGAGGATAGGAAAATCACAGCTACACAGACGTTTGAATTAAATTTATAAAATTTTATCATTCATAACCACAACTAGAACCCTGCAGAAACAAATGCTCTGTTTCAGACAGAAATGGTGGAATCCAGAATTTGGTTTTGTTCCAATCTGGAACAAAGATTTAAATTATCAACAGGTCTGTGACAAAACTGAGCTTCAGTTCTAAAGCAATCTACCTAAAAATTTGTCGCATAGCAAGAAACCCCAGAAGGTTCTTTGCCTCAGCACAGATGATGGTTAGGCGAACTGAACCCTCCAACACGCAAAAATCACATACCTAGGACCCTGGAAAGCAATGATGCCAAACTTCTTTGCCAACCAACCAGGACAGCTGTAGTGGCTGGGGCTCATGGGCTCCTGGTGTCACATCTGCAAGGCTGCCCAAGTGCCTGGCAGCCCCCACTCCGTAACAGCCATGTAGCCTGATGGATACGTTGCCTGGGATCCACCATAACTTAGTCCAAACCAAGTCTTTGCAAACCTGCCTCCACAAATTTCCATGCCAATAAGAGATCAAACTTTGGAGAATTTTCAAACAGTTCCAGACAAAACTGTGTAGAAAAAATTCACAGGCTGACACTAAACTCCCATTTATAATTGGTTATGAGACACTTAAAATTTCAGCACTCTGCAGTTTGGTAAGCTTCAATAAACTGAGCAATAAACCCTCCTCCAAAATCCATTTCTCTTACAACAATCAGGAAAGAACTTAAGAGCCTTAAGGGATGTATTTTGCTCAAGCATAGTAAGCAGTATGGGAGGCAGCAGAAAGGAGATGGAGTGCCATTCCCAAAAGATAGCAATTCAGAAGCAGCTCACACTGCTCAGATCTGTTTAAAGCAAAGCCACAACTCCATGTGGCTGTGAGAAGGTCAGGTTCACGCCAGCTCCATGGCAGAATTGTGTTCCTGCAGTAACTTACACACTAGTTTTGAGGTATTCAGTCTGCCAGTGGAGTATCTTGCTTTTGTGCAAGGCACAGTGTGGATGCTGGGAGGCAGGCATGCTGGACAGTGGCAGCTATAACCTAGACACTTAACAATCAGAAACCCAAACTGTCAAACTTTGTCAAAACCAGACAGTTGGCAAGTCTACAAAAAAGGAACACAAATATGGAGCAAATTTGCAGATACATTAACAAGCTTGTTCCTAAATCCACAAACAGCAATGAAAATTGTCAATGTCTCCTTCTGTTATAACATCCTTACTGCCAAAAGAAATAAATTAATTTGGACCTCATATTGCTATTCAGTACAGACATGGTGTTACACAGTAATATTTAACATGTTGGTATTAAATATCTTCATGAGGGAAAACTCAATTTCAGATTTTAATTGAGATGTTCTAGAAGTGTAGTGCTTTCCCTAGAACAAGTATCAATGTATACTGAAAGCACATGTAAATATTTAAATAATTGGTCACATACCAATAAGGATAACATAAGAACATCCCTAACTCAACCTTTGGATTTACCAATGTTCCTGGAAAACCTGGAGCTTACAATAATTTTCCTTAAAAAGTAGAACTGTTTTCCATGTTTCTATATTTATCTACACTCTGGAATATCAATCACTGTTATACTTACATCTGGGGCTGAAGTTATGAGAGTCCATAAATGTGATTGAAAGCGGATCCTCTGCATGCAGGGTGCTCTGGTCAGCGTAACTCCTATCCATTGCATTCACCATGTGTGTCATCTCCTGGCGGGTGGTCCCCATGGCATCCTTGCGCTTCTTCGCAAGTTTGCTGCCCAGCCAAAAAAAAAAAAAACAAACCACCTTAATATCTGATGAACATTGATGTCTGCAGTAATCATTATCTATAATCCCGAGGGACTGAAAAGTTTGGCTGATTTTCCTGTGTACAACTTTCCAGCGTGAATTTGATAAAACTATGCAACCTGCTATGAAAGAGTTGCAATCATGTGTTTTCTGTACACACACAAACGCTGTAATGGAAGTACTAACTTCTGTACCTTGGTAATATTTTTTTTCCTGTGGAGTAATTACACTAATATAAACAAATTAGAGAATATAATTACATTTTAACTGAAATGATAAATAAGAAGCATCTGTGCATGCAGCTTTATCAACCATCTCCATTTAAATTTGTGTTTTGATTTTACAAACGGATAATTCACTCCCCTTGCTTGCCTTGTTAGGAAGAAATAATTTAACCTTCTAAATCACTTTGTTAGTCAAAAAAACCTATGAAATAACAAAAGAAACATAATTATTTGATATGGATTCATATTACTTTTTATGGTGAAAGTTGTTCTTCCCATTCAGTACACAAGATACAACGTGATACCACACTTTGTTCCTGACCCTGAACACTGTTCTTTGAAAACCAAGCAAACCCCCTCTCACACCACTCTACCCTTTTATGCAGTTTGGGAACATCTTAAATTCTGCCAGTAGCAGCCTTAAACTCTGAATGTATCACAGTTAAACAGCAACCTAATCTGTCCAACTAACCCCCCCACCTTAACAGCCAATGCCCTTAAAGTGCACACTTCAGAAATATCTCTCAATTCTTTCCTTTTGATGAAGAACTGGAGGTGATTTTCACTGTCTCTGGAAGTCAGATGGAAGCAGACAATATATTTTAATTATCACTTAAAGCCTACTACTCTTAAAGCATGTATCTCAAGTAGTAGGAAGCATGCAAAGCAGCATGAAGCGCACCTTGGTTCTGCAGGAATCTGTGACATACATTAGAGTGTTCTGAAATCTCCCTGTTTTCATCTGAAGCTGTGACTGCAATGTAATAGGTAGCCAACCTGCTTATTTGAATAAATCTGACACCACGTGGCAGAGACACAATCATCACTGAAAATACTGGGTTCTTGAAAATGTATGTTTAAAACACAGCTCAGCTTCACAAGCTTCTTCTGCCTAAAATATAATCAAATATCCTGTTAACTGTTTAGTCAGTGTTTATCTTGCATTTCTCTGACTAAAAGGACTGCTTGCTCTTCCTCTGTTCTCTGACAACTTTTAATATTCAGTGCCACACTCTAACAGCAGACAAAAAAAATATTAGTGTAAATTATCCATCCATTTCCTTGTTGCTTCCTCGGAACATACACCCAAAAAGACCTACACCACTCTCTAGGGCAGGGAGCACTTCATCTTTTTCCATGTTTAAGAAAATATAAAATTGTTTCTTAAATTAATAGTCTCAGTTCACAACAAGGGGCCACAAACTAGTATATAGAAGGACAAAGTGCTCCTGAGAATAACAAAGACTCTTGCACTGATCAGACTCATCTCCTTATTCTGTGTGTTCCTACCCCCGGCCTTTCTTTTCCCCACTTACAGATACATGAGTTGGAAAATTGCTAGTCAATAACCCCCTAGCTACAAAAATCCCAAAGGTGGTCTCTAAACCTAACATTTTTTCATCAAACCCTTATGGTGCACATGAGGGTTCTGTGTGTATCAGTTGTTCAGTGAAAACTAACGTAACAGTGACAGTTGGATGCCCCCCCTAAAATGCTCTATTTTATACATTTACTCCACACATTCCTATTTACTTATGAAAAGCTGGTTTAAATGATACTCTGGTCGAACAAATGAAGACCATCAAAACTTCCAGAAGTGAAACTGCTTGAGCTTTATTACTGGTTCCCACTGCTACCAAAGCTTTCACAAAACTGGCATTTCTAGTTCAGACTGGTTTGTAAGTTCCAAAGCCTTTCAGATAGTCTCTATTCACTGAAGATCACCTTTTTCCAATGCCAACTCAGAAATGGAACAAAAAGACTATTACATCTCATCTCGTGGCTGTATTGAGCCCTTCTTTGAAATATCACTTTGTAACAAAACTTGCTAGCTATGCTAAATAAATCAACAGCTATTAAGGCTTTCAAGTTATTAACTTATTACAGTAACTACTTTCTAATTCTTATGCTCTGCTTCAACTCCTAAAAAAGCCTATTGTGTTGTAGCACTGCAACCCAAAGCTGCTGGGAAATGGGAGGACAGCTTTATTGTTCAACAGCTCCTGGCTCCCTCGGGGTTTGACTTCTTTTTCCTTTCCTTTCTTTCCTTCCCTCACTCAGATGAAGGCACATGCAATCTATGCTTCATGATAATTCCGAAAATCATTAAGTTAAAGTACTTGAGGCTGACAGAGAAAGTGTAAATGCTTCTCATTATCTGATAAAGGATCCGGTTGGGTGAACCTGTGCAGGTGGGTGTTTCCGTGGGAGCTGGAGGGGAAATGTGCTCCACCATAGGATGAAACTTCGTGGTTAATTATCTTGAGCTGAAGCAATTGCTATTTAACAAGGAAATTATAATTTGTCACAATATACTGGAGAATGGCAGTTAGCTAAGCCAGCTTACTTTTTTTTTTTTTTTTTTTTTATTTTGAAGTTTGTTTAAAGAAGTCAACTAATCTGCTTAAAAATGTGGAAGAGCATTATTATCAGACACCACCGGTTCATCAAAGCACTTGAGTGCATTCTTACATCCCCTCTGAAGCCAAGGGCTTTATGCATTTATTTAAAATTAAGAATGTGTGTTAACTGCTTTGCTCAATCCCACAAAAACTCATTTGGTCAACACATACAAAAAAAGTTCATTTTGCTTCAGCAAAGCAAAACTTTATCCAAACCAATGTCACAAAGTAAGATCCACACTTTAAAATGTGTACACAAAGCACCTCACAAGCAACAGATGCAGACCACTTCACCAAAAATATTTCTGTAAAAAAAAAAAAAAAAAAAAAAAGGTTGGTACCACAGAGGCAGACATGTTGCTCTGCTGTTGGTAGGGCAGAGACCTATTTATAAAGGTTTGGCATCTGCCTACGATCTGTCTAGGAAAAGTGGTGCATAGGATCACTCCTGAACTGATAACGCTAAGAAAGAACAATTTGTGATTTACAAGCACAGTTCTCCAGCTAGGAAATGGGAAGAGAGTTCTTTTCCTTAGTGTGATGTGTCTCTGTGAATCATAATGCAAATTAAATTATGATTACAATAAACTAAAATGATAGTTATGGGAAAAACTGTAGCAAAAAGCAAAAGTCTCAATACACAGTTAGAAATACAATATCCCTTTAAAAAAAAACAAGGTAAGAATAACAGGAACAATGACAAAAGCAATTTTTCAAGCTGAGAATAAAGAAAGGTAACTGCCAATAATACTTCAGGAAAATTATAGAGACTCTTTTTATTTTTTAAAAAGGGATACTGCATCTTTAATACATGTAAGATAGTAAGTCACCCGTATTCTACTTACAGATAGTAGGAGTAAGAATAGTAGCTCCTCCTGGCAAGCAAATCACAGACAGTGGAAAAAGAGAAGCAATGGTGAATGAAAAGCGTGACTCTGTCACATTCAATAAAGCAGAGAAATGTGCGTTTAAAAAAAAAAAATTGAAAAATTCATGTTTCTTTGGTTAGCATTTCAACTTGCTCATGCACAAACTAGCCTTATTTTGCCATGCAATTAAAAAAAAAAACAAAACACTTGCATATAAAAATGATTTGTTTTTTAGGAAGATCACTTCAGAAAATTACATGCTGAGATTTCATTTATTGCCAAAAAATTTGAAAATTAAATGGATTGTGTATTTTCAACATGCAGTTCAGCATAATACAATGATTACCACCTAGATGTCATGACAAATGAACAGCTGTGTACGTATCTTGTGCAGTAAATATGCTTTTTGCTTTTCAGTTACAAGAACTAAAGATTCCATTAATAAATACGTTTAATCAGAAAACAATTTTCATGTCATTCATTTTAACACCTTTATCAGTACACAGGTGTATACATATATGTTTGTATGCATACTATATGTAGCTATATGAGTACACACATTTTAAAGAATGCACGCTTACAGTAGACGTGTGTACTGACATATATACCACACATTTCCTGAATGCAAACATACGCTTTCTATTTTAAAATCTTACAATTGGAAATGCTGATGTAGTCATGCTAAGCATTAAAAACATGGAAGGTAAACAAATGGAAGGAGATGAAGGACATCTGGAAATAATCCAACAATGACTTTAAAAATAAAAATGGCATTGCTTGTTAAAGATGCAGTATCCCTTTTCTTAGCTGGTTTGATTACTCCAGTAAAACTCTGTAAGAGCTGTTAAGAGCTTAATTCAGGAAAACTTCAAACCAATTTGTACAAAATGATCAGGCAAAGCTTAAAAAAATCTCAAGCTCGTGAACAAAACTGGTTAGTGCTCCATTTTTCAATAAAATGCAATGCTGCATTTAATCAGATTGAGATAGCGATGGCTGTGCATATGACTTTATAAACGAATGAAAATGTAGAAACCATTGTTCTATTGACTGATCTGTGTAACGAGCTGTGGTCAATTCAGGTACCAAAAGGGATACTACATAATGGATCACTGAATATGTACACTACAGAAGATGATTCAAATGGATCGTTTTTCAGTCCCACCACAACTAAGTGAAGCGTGTTTATGTACGTGTGAATGTGTCAGGGTTTTTACAGCTGTTCCTGGCTTCACGATATGAATTGCCCTGATTCACTAGATGGACTGAATTAACTCATGTATTCAAAGGTTTTATATGCTTTTTGTAAGAGACCTTGACTAAAGCTGGTGTGAAAATAAACCTGCCCATATTCCCTAAGCAGGGGGGAAGCAATGGCACACCTATAAAATACGCAGTAGACAACCAATTAAACTATCAGGATGAAAAACTGCTAAACATTAAAGATTCATTAAACAGGTTAATTTCTCACCTATTTTGAATACAAAATAGTACAGGAGTTTAGAAATGTTATATGCTTTAGAATGATGACCAAGTATCATTCCTATGAGGGTACTGACTTCACAGGTTCAGAAAAGGGAAGGGAGAAAAAAGGGGAATTTAAAAAATATCATTTAATGGACACGATTAACTTTTATCAAACAATTCAACTGGGAAAGTACAAGTCTAAAAGGACTCCGAATGCAAAAGGTACACACTGAATTTTAAAGCTCATTTTTTTAAGCTAGTCGATCCCATCAGGAAGTGACTGACAATATATAGGCTGTCTCTCTCTCACACACACATGCACACACACAGAGTCCTCTGTTATAATGGGACCACTGCAACATGCACTGAGAAGATGACACTCCCCAGCACATACCTTGCAACAAAGCTATAAAATAGATTTCTTCCTGAAAGCTTAAAAACAACTTTTTTGTTTGTTTTTCCAAAGTTGTGTAAATAAAGAAAATTGGCTGACTGTATGTCTTTTTTTACATATGATGAGCTGGACCTTTTCCATATGTGTTAATTCTCAATCACAGAGGTAAACAACAGAGAAAAGTAAAAGCACTTTTGGGAAAAATCACGTATGTAGCTAACTAACACAGAACACTATAAGCATACCTAATGTTTCTAATGCAGACGTTTCTTCTCCAAGTTATATATCTCCAGGGATAATTGTAAAAAGGCAATAAATTAAAAAAGTCTAATGCAATCCAGTAATTATAACATATAGAATGATCTTAGGTACAATTTTAATTTTTTTCTTAATCTTTAAAAATGATAGCAAGCTGCATTTCAGAGGAACATTCAGACGTTTACAAATATACTTTTCATTAAGACTTCTGCAAAAGGCAAGGGAACGCAATGCACACACCATGGGAAGACAAAGGTCTCGTTCTACCCAAGAGAAATCAGCTTGTGCCCTGCAAAGGGGACCCGTCAGGGAAGGGGTGCACAGAAACAGAGAAATTGGTTTTGATGCTGTAACTATGGATTTATAGAGCTATATTATGAACCTTTATACCAGGTTAAAAGAGTTGCAACTACTAGGAAGTCAAGACTTTCAAAAATAGGGTAGCAAAATTTACTATAGGTAGGAGCACGTGGATGTGGAGTACAACACCAGAAGATGGCGATATTGCTTACTGTCTAAGAAAGCACTGAAAAAAATTAAAATTCATTCAAATTAATACATTTTTAAACAATTTCATGCACTAAGGATTTTTGTTAGGTAATTTTACAGTGATGTGGTATGACTTTTACGAAAAAAAAAAAATCCAGGCTTACAAGAGCGTAAATAGAGGTATAAAATCACATTATTTTGCAAGTTGGATAACATACAGATACAAATAACTTGTTAGACCTGAACACAGAAAATCAAATTCATTAGGTATTACAACATGAAAAGTGCAGTAAGTTACTCTTTTTTTTCTTTGCTTTAAAAAAAAAAGGCGCACCACGAATTTAAATTCCACCCATTTCAATATTCTGTACGTTCCTCCAACTGCAACTCAAAAATACTTGGAAATAAACAAGTATGAGAAAATGTATAACTCTTGGATCCCAAATATAAAGAAATCCTTTCTTTAAATCCATCATAAGAATCACAGCAAAACCAACAGGAAACACAAAAAACTCATCCGAAAACTGATGTGAGCTACTGCTCCTGAAACTTTTTTTTTTTAAAGACGTGTAAAAAATACCCTTTTTGTTATTGCTTGATATGGAGAAAAAAAAGAAGGATCAGTATAGATGATTTTCTTACCTTTTTTTGACGATCAATATGACAACAAGGAGAAGTAGGATGAATACCAGAATTCCAGCACTTATTCCTGCTATTTTCACTACACGATCTGTTTGTTTAGCTGGATCCGGAATCACCTCAGGTTCTTCTGTTGCTGCTGCTAAATGAATAAAAAAAAAAACAACTTGTTTAAACGTGTAAGGACTAGAGACAAGAAAATTATAATTGGTGATTATTTCCAAATATGTCTGTGTTTTAATACAGTAGCCAGAATATAGATACTTGCATCATGAGTTTATACATCTACACGTATGTATACGGACACACTATGAATTTCAATCTATATGCCACGCATTTGCAATACCAAGTATATGACTACATATGTGTGCATACAAGTGCATATATATAACTTCACATATACAGAAGTCTATATGCATCAGGATTTCCAAACCAGTCACTATATTACAAAGCAGAAGACAAAGCAGAGACAATCTATCAACTAAATCAGCATTACTTCCTGTAGTTATTTTTTCAGATATTAAATATGGAATATTTAATATTGACTAGTGAGATTATGTTAACTCATGAACAGTAAATTAAACTCTCTTTTCCAAGCTGCAGCCAGCACCCTGAACTCCAGTCCTTCTCTCCTTCACCCAACTTCAGTGCACCTTGGTATACAAATTCATCTTGTAGCATCTGGCCTGAGATCCGCGTCCTACTGGGAATTTTGATTCTCTGAACTAGCCTTGGATTGGTGGACGGCCTAAAGTCAGCAGCAGTTTTGTTTCTGTTTATAGGCCCTAAAAAAAAAAAAAAAAATCGCTGTTCTACACAGAGATGAAACCACTCCGTAATGCAGCCGAGTGGGCTGAGGCCACAGGTTACAGCAGAGAGGAAAACAGAATATATATGAAAGTGCACAGCTACTCAGTCCACACCTCTTTGCATCACAGCCTGGCATACAAAGGATCAGGAACATGGCACTTTTCAGCCTGGCAAAAATATGAAAAAATATAAACAGGTTTCAGACAGGGGTAAAATCCCATGAGGTGTTTACTTGTAAAATAGGAAACGGCTCTTCACTTCTCTAGTTGTTCCTTTCTAAGGCTGTGGCTCAGCACTTTGCCTTTCCCCTGCTCACAGGCATGGACGGGTACCTGTGCTTGCTTTCTCTCCCTCTGACCCTTCTTCTCTCCCTCTCCACCTGGCACACAGCAGATGACACTTAACCTCTCCCCCCTCACAGCAGCTGCACGTGGAGTAGTTACAAGCTGTTGTATCATCATATCTATGTCATTACACAGAAAATGCCCTTTACTCTGAAACTAGGATGCTTCTCAACAGACCATCAAAACAAGTAGAATGAAAAATTAGGTGAAGCCACACCAGAGAAAGACTACCACTCCCCCAAAAGTCTGCTCCATGGGCCTTTCAGAAAGCCAGTGTAGTCAGCACCAGAGATAACTTGTATCTAATAGTTTCTGGTTTTAACCATGTTACTCACACTGTTTATATTTGGGTTCCACACGCAGGAATCCATTATTATATTTTGAGAGAAGGATCATGCTGATGTCTGAAATCACTCTTTATTACTTGTTTCTGTAACCTCCATCTCAGCAGCATCTGAACCACGTACTAACAATTTACCCCTAGAACAACCTTCTGAGTTAGTCTCTTCCAGACACCCATGCAAGAGCTAGGCAGACAGTGAGAGCTCTGGCAGTGCTTTAATCATAAAACTTCATCATCATCATAATCATCTCTCTCCTGTACAGCTTGAACTTTATCTGCTGAGAAATACTAAATGCTTCCTCCTTTGTGTAAATACATACCTGCATGCACACTTGCATACATAACCTGTGTGGACTCAATACTACATATTTTGTTTATATTATGTGTATTGTTGAGGTGTCTAGGGGTAAGAGTCAGGATCAGGTAAGTGGTGTGTGTAGCTGTGTATATACAACATATACTCACACACAAGCTAGAATTAGTGCCACATACACATAGGATGCTGTCTAACTGAGGAAACGAGGAGGATGACTTCTGAGGTGGAACTGGAAGAAGGCGGCACTCCGGATTTTCAATGCTTAAAATGAATCAACTCCCCGTCTACTATTAGCTGGGCTGGATGTGACAGACCTGAATGAACATTTGATAGGCAGTAGAGCCAAAAGGCCAATCAGTAGAGTCAAAAGACCAATCAAAGCTCAAACATAAATGGCTTTACATGCCAATCGGAAAAAAACTCATGTTTGCCAGATCAGGCTCTGAGAAACAGCAAGGACGTGGGGAGGGTAGAGAGGGGAGCATGCATAGTCGCTGTGTCTGGAATGAGTACAACACGAGTGCAGCTCGGTAGCTCTGACCTAGCAAAGGTAAGTACTACTAAAGCTGCAAAATAACCTAAGGCTTGAGCGAGAGATTTAGTTGTGTGCATGGAGATTTAAGGCCAGGTCTTTGAGAGATTTAAAAATATGAATCACAAGGATTGGATGTGACCTGAAGATGCACTTCAAAAGTTGAAGGCTCAAAAATACATCCAAAAGTACAGGCTTTCATCCTTCATCAGGACAGTGGTATTTTCACAGGAGTATTAGTGAGAGATGAGAGTAGGGGGGAAAGAATGAGAGAGCTGTCTCACACTTCCCTGGGGAAAGATCCCAACCCTATCGCTTGATAGAACAAGCTGCAATATAGGTGCTTATCACAGAGTCATGTTGAAAATCATTGCTTGGCCACTTATGTTATTTCATTTAGAAAAGTTACCTTAGAGAAACAACTACACACATCTCAGAAAATCTGAAGAAAAGGTTATTGAGGGAGTTTACTTATTTGCCTAACTTAGGCACTGTTTTTTTTGTTACATACTGTAAGAAATTATCAAGTTTGGGTCATTAGTAACTGTTCAAAATGCATCTCTCTGTCCAAGTTTTTAGCACAACAGTGGAAAGCCAGGAGGGTATTAACTGCTTGTCCATTTATTCTGGTTTCCTTACACTAAGGGGTTTGAAATAAGAGACAGTAGCTCACTCCATGAGCTTTAAATGCTGCTTATGAGATAAAGCTGGTGTCCACTGGAAATGTACCATTAAGTCACAAATCAGTGAAGAAAACTTATATTGAACAGTTATAGACTAAGCAAGTGTATAACCAGTGGTTGAGACTTCTATATCCAAAATGCTAAAATCTATGGGCAAAACGCTACCCCTCTCCCCCATATCAACAGAAAAGTTGCTTCTGACTTAAATAAAGCCAGGATTATTACATGTGTTTCCAGCAACAGAAAAGATAACGCATTTGCTAGACTAAATGTTACATCTGGTGACTAAATGAAAGCAATTAGAGATATAAATCACACTGTAATCTGTTACTTACGTGTATGTGCATTGTATGCAATGAAGTATATTACTTAGGGGAAGTGACTGTAGCATAGAATCATTTAATGAAACTTAGGCATTTAAAAGTACTTAATATTATTTGTGTTTTCATTTTGACAGTTCAAAGTGTATTGTAGTAAGTATGTGTGAGCTTACACGTATACACCCAAAGGACAAAACCACAGAAAACTTGTGCCTATGTGTTAAACTTCTAAGTCAGAGTCTCCTAGTTGTTGATTGCACAAGGACTACAGCAGCAAGAGAAATTCTGCTTACTCTGAGAATTTGATCTCTCTATCCTCTATACTACAAGACTGTCAGGACTCTTCTTTCTCTGAAGTGGCTCTTCTATAGGCTGAACTGCTGGTTTTGACAAACAAAGCAACTCAACTAACCAAGGCTTCACGAAGGGCAAATCTTGCCTGACCAACCTAGTGGCCTTCTATGATTGAATGACTACGTCAGTGAACAAGGGAAGAGCTACTGATGTCATCGATCTTGACTTCTGTAAGCCTTTGACATGGTCACCCACAGCATCCTTCTGTCTAAATTGGAGAGATACAGTAGTTAAAAACTGAATTATTGTGATAACTGTAGTTAACTACCGTATATTTCTAAACAAGGCAAAAACAGACTAAAATAATTTGAGTTACCAAAACACCTGCTTTACTAATTCCTGACAATCCTTTTTAGTAATCTAGTCCTGCAATGCTTTCTTACGTCTTGAACACCAGACTGTATGAAAATGTAATTTATTAATTTGAAAAAGAGCCTCTCTACTGGCTGTTAATTTCTTTGGCCAGCTTTACTCTAACACACCTTTAATTAATTTTTACAATATCCTTGCATATTACTATATTTTTCCCAATTTGACCATGTAAGTCTAAGAAGAGATAATCCTACAGTTTTCATGCTGTGCAAAGTCATCTTGCATAAAATTTGCAAGAAGAGTTTCTGATTTGAAACACAGAGTTTACATTCCCCCCCCCCCATAATAGCTGCCCACACAGAAGATTTATGAGCTAGACTGGGAGCAGAACACTGTATTTAGCAGCTTATCCACTCACCTTTCTTCTGAACTAATGAACAGTAACAGCAATCATATTCCACAGTCCCATTCAAAGTTCATAAAATAACTCAATCCAGTGATTCTGGCTCTGTACATTGCCAATAACAGTCGCCATATGAGAAGTAGTTTTCCTTGTTCTCATAGACACTTAAGGACAACACTCAATCAGTTGACTTCCATGATCAATACCATGAAGTTCAATGATGAACAGCACTAAATTAGACCAGGATTGATAACACTCTCAGGGACAGTAAAATTCTAAACAGCTGGTGAGGTAGAGTCCATCTTATTCTAATAATTTGCTGATGTACCAAATTCCTTTAATTTTTTTATGTTTTTAATCAAATACACTTAAAAATCTAACACTTGCTTCTAAAATTGAGTGTCTGCCTAATATTCATACTTAAGTCCTAAAGTACACTGTGGCATGAGGAATCCAGTCACGGCATATATTGCTTTCCTGTCTTCTCCTTCCTTCTGTGGCTCAGAATTTACACACAGCCTTGCAAAATTGTCAGAGAATTTATGCAGCTCAGCACAAAATCTATTCACCTATACCTTCCTAAGGAGATGGTGTTGAAAACAAGATAATGATATTCTACTCACTCATCCAAATGAAATTATTCAAGCAGAAAATTCTGGTAGAATTTTGCAGGCCTGCTTGTATGGTAGCACTTAGAGAAGAGTCAGCCTTTTAAAAGACAGCTT